TTCAGGCTTCCCGCGAATCAAATGTTCGCGGGAAGCAAGGGAGGGGGCGGAGACTTTGGAGAGGGGGCGGAGTTGGGTCGGGGGCGGGGCTGGGGCCCCGTGGAGTGTCCTCCATTTGGAGGCACAAAATATGGTAACCCTAATATACACAGATATCCAAAATACAAACACATTAGACAATTTATTTCAAAAGTAACACAAATAAATAAATAAATAAATAAAAAAGTCCATACACTACTTGTCTTCAAACATTAGTTGTCTGGATCGCCTCCCATCTCCAGCTCCCACCCTTAATCTTATTCACAACTAAAACATTCCTGTGATAATTATAGCAGCTGCATATGTTCAGCTAGGCTGGCTCCTCCTTCTTCAGACACTCAAACTCTAAACCAAAGATCTTGGATGCCTGTAGAAACAACTGAAAACAAGTTGTAGGATCCAGGACCACGTGGCCTGCCAGATCTCCACAAACTACCTGCAATTGCTCTGCAGAGTGCAGACAACAGCGTGAACACAGTTTTATTTAGAACAGAACCAAAGAATGGAACAGATGGCACCACACATGATTTAAATAAAAACTACCTATGTTAAGTTTAGATAAGTACCCCAATTTCTGTCTACCCAATTACATACAAAAAACATGTTAAACATATTAAGGGGGCAAAGACAAGCATTCAACACTTAGGAAATGGCAGAATTAAGAATCCCTAAGCAACCTTAGCTAGGCCACCTTGAGTGAATACATTATGTAAAGTCTTGGCCAACTGCACAGAGGAAGTCTGTGGCAGAGTCAGGAACACACAGTCATTTTGAACCCCAGATTAGAGCTCTAAAGAGAACATCTTTTCCCTTTTTGCAACCCCCCCACATCATTCACTGCCCATCTGGTGCACTGAATGAGACGGGGATCCTACAGAACAAATAGTATATGATTATGTAATTAAAGGCTATCATAATGCATGCACACAAAGGGCTAGATCCAGAAAAGGATTTAGATAGCTAACAGTGACTTTAGGCTTTAGATTTTAAATCCACAATTTAGATAGTCAAAATTCCGAAACCCCTAACCTGTCATCTAAATTCCTAACAATCAGGTCCCCATAGCACCCAGAATCTCCATGGTACCTAAAAATCTGCCTAAATCCTTATGTCTGGCACCCAGCTCATGCCTAAGCCTTGGCAAGATCCTCAAATAAGACATTTTCCCACAGCAATAACATCTACCACTGGTGCAAAATCCTATGGACCAGCCACTGGAGAGGAAATGATGCACCCTTCACCAGTGGCTTATGCAACCATTAGCTAGGCAGCAGAAGAATGTTGAAAATCAGGAATCCTGAGTTTGAATCCTGGTTCTAGAGGGGATTATAGCATACCTATGACAGCAGCACAGCCAGATATGTATATTTGAAACATTCATTCTGAAAGGCAAATGTGGCTAAGTGGATAAGATTTTGATCTGCTATGTTAGAGATCTGGATTCTATTCTTAGCTCTGCCAGACATGACCCTGTGCAATATCTCAGTTATTCCATCTGTAAAACAGGACAATCATATGTGTCTGCTTTTTAAGGTATGAATATAAAAGTCCTGTTAAATAATAAAGGCAATGAAGTGCACAGAATTAGTAACAGAAATGAGTGGAAGAGCGGAGATTTGAATTAATGGTCTTCTCCTAGTTCCCACCCATAACACCGTCTCTTTGGCCAAAAGAAGGGCTGCACTACTAGTGTATCTCCATTGTCCTATTCAGTTGAGGCTTACTGGGAGCTGGAAGCACATTTAGTGCACATGAAATATTCAGAGATTTTAGAAGTAAACTTCTCACAAGCTCTACTGAGCACGTGCAAACAGGGATTTTCAAAGGCTTATGATTCTGCTAGATGATTTTTTATAGTAACAGCAAAAGCAATCTTTGACTCCAGAGTTACACCCTACCAATTTTTCAGTTCATGCTTCAAACCCTGAAGGTGCTACAGATCTTAAGAGAAACAGTTGGGGAGGGAGAAGATGGAAATTAACATTTGCAAAACAACCTATTTTTTCCTAAACTTGTTCTCAGAAATGACTCAACTGTTTTGCTGAATCAAAACAAAACAAAAAAAATTCAACCTGTGGCAGAGAGCAAACAGAGAAAATTTCAGTCTAAATGCTTTAAGTTTGGCAAAGTTATGAGCAACAGAAAACAGGAGTGTGTAATGGAAAGTTTCAAGCAAATCGCTATCCTCCCTCACTCCCCCATAATGAGATGGCTCTCCGTTTGTAGGACATAGCTCATATGAAAGAAATTGATATTATAATTGTTAAACACAGTTCAGGACCAGCCTATACAGTAACTAGAGTACATAGTGGGAGGAAAGCTAGTTACATCAGCAAATAAATCCTATGTCTTTATTCATTAATTATATTCACAATTTGAACAAAACACAAACTTTCCAGTCTTTTTGTTCATTAGGCATAATATAGCTAACTACTGTATACCACCTTGCTTGTGAATCTAGTGACTAAAGGTGTTCTATGGAATTGTATTTGAATAAGAGAGACTATGAAGTTCAGACTGATTTATTTCACACATGTGACATGCGCAAATAGACAAGAGACACCATTTCAAAATAGAAGACACAGACATTTACATAAAATCAAATCCTCACAACTTTCTCTGAGGTCATGTTTACTGACAGGCTGCAAAATGCCTGACCCAGCCACAAAGGACGTATTTGCCTAGATTGATAGCGCTTCTGAAATTAGATGGTCCAACCTAAAAATAACCACTCCCATTAACTCTACTATGAACTGTTTTCAAGTTTCAATTAGTATTCTTCCTGCGAGCTGTGTGCTTTTGAAGTCAAATGGTCAGGCCAAATACTGGAACATTTTAAAAAAATGATCCATGTTTCAAGCAATTTTATTTTCAAAGTCAGAAACAGTCTGGAATTTGCACTGCTGTTGCTTTCAAAAGTAAAAGATCTATTTTGAAAGTCACATATATTTTTAAACAATGAGGTATGTGGCTCCTGAAATACAGTAAAAGATTTTAGATTAATTTTCTAGTTTGGGATCCAGTGATAAACAGGCAAACTGCATATACTCATACGTGAATGCTCCTGGGCTGTACTGTGACTGCATTGTATTTACAATGAAAAAGAAATGTTGTTTGCCAGAAAGCTTACCTTTCTCTCTTTTAGTAGCTGTCTATAACCACTTTCACCCAGGGACAGTAGTGTAATGAGGACATCTAAGGAAGGAGATGCTGATGCTCTTCCTGAAGCAATGATATACAGATTATTTTCATTCTCTCTCTCTCATTATTCAAGTTCTTTGCAGTTATTTCACAAAGATGAATCAATCTGTAAATTATTTACCTGGGTACATCTTGCTGATATCCAGGATGAAGGAATCATTGAAACCAGCAATGATAGCACCACCTACTGGAACCATAAAATTTTTGTCCAAGCTCTGGATGAAAGCATCTATTCTACCTACTCGAGCACCCTAAAAACAAAACGAAACAAAAAGAACACAACCACCCCCCCATACATATACACATTAGGAACAAGTGTTTGACAGCATCCTGTTGTATTATGTATAAAAGTAATGGACGGCAAGTTACATTAATAAAACTCTCACAGAAAATACATTAGAGCTAAAACAAAATTAAAATGGTTACAGTTTGTTTTCTTAGTAGTATTTGCTAAGAACATGGTTGCATTGCTACATATCACCACAGGTTCATCTATCTGTAATCCTACTATTAATCCCTTTTTTGCAAGGAATTAATACACTGAACTAAATTGAAGTTTTACACACTGTGGTATATTTTCAAAGCACTGCATGGATTTTTAACGGTATAACTCCCATAAAAGTCAGTAACCAACAACATTTCAAAAGTTTACCAAATTGAAACTTAGTCGGGGATTATAGATAGATAGATAGATAGACACACACACATATATATATATATATATATATTATATATATATATATATATATATAAAAATAAATGGCCATAGTGTAGCTATGTTTAATTGAGAAAACAGTCTTTTCTCAGTGCAGATATACAATTCCCATTAAAACCAGTGGATGATTGTGGGAGAACACTCAAACACTGTCCTTACCAAGATTTCAGTTAGTTGTATCATGTAAGATTGCCTATAATATGAAGATCCAAGTAACTCCACTACTGCAAATGGAGTCAAGTTCCCCCCCCAAGAAAACAAACTGTCATTATAACCAGGGGGGCAAGTATTCTCCAAGAGACAGGATGTAAATACTGCAGCAAGGCTCTGATTTCTGAAGCACTAATGCTGTGAATTCAGAGAAGTCTTATAGTCTGTGTTATGCAGGAGGTCAGACTAGAAAAATCACAGTGGTCCTTTCTGGCTTTTTAAAAGCCACGAATTTATGAATTCTGCAGTTAGCTGAGAAGTCTGCAGCAGTATGAAATCAGTATAATATACTCAAGCACACAACTTATTACATATTAAATTAAGCTACATGAATGTTACCAGTATCCATGACAATACCAAAATACAGAAGATGTATTGTCACTTCTGTTTTTTAAACAGCTGTTCGGGTGTTGAGTGGGAGGGAGCCAAGGATTTGGCAGTGTTTTGGTGCGGAGATGAATGCCAGAGCTTTAGCATCTGCATTTAATCGGGGGAAAGAGAATAGGGGGGCAGTTGACAGGGTAATGGGAACAAGATCTCTCCTCCTCTTCAAAAAAAAAAAAAGTTTTTTTCCCTCCTCATCCTCCCATTCCATTTTGGTTTGTTGGATCCATCCTTCGAGCATTTATTTACTGGCATTCATCACGGTACCTATGCACTATCCATTGTTCTATTAGTAATGAGTGTGTACAGGTGTGACGGGGCACACTTGCCCCGCACTGGTACTGCAAGAATTAATTCTACTCTCTGGGCTGAGGAGGCCACGCCCCCACGGCCCTGCTGGGCATGCTCCAGCTGGAGACTAGATATAAAAGGGAGCAGCTCAGCTCATTTGGGGCTGACTGTTGAAGAGAGAGAATGTATGCTGCAAGCTCCAGCCCACGAACTGCAGAAGTCCCAGATGGCAGAAGCTAGGGATGCTGAGAGTCCGAAGGATAGCCAAGGAGTGGCGGAGCTGTTGGGAGCTGCACTGACCGAGGAGCCCAGAAACCCCAGGACCATGGCATCAGGAACCAGGTAGGAAGTAGCTCAGGGAGACTAGTTGTGGTGCCGAGTGGGGTCAGCATGTTTTGAGTGGATTCCCTGCTGACTCAGTGGTGGGCATACTTGCCACTGACAGGGCCCTGAGCTGGGACCTGGTGGAGCAGGGAGGGCCCAGGCCCTACTGACTGTGGCTGCCAGGCCACACCGCCTTGCTGAGTCAGGTGGCCACACTCACTCTGACCACTGGGTGATACACCCTGGCTGAACTGGGAAGCCATATTCACTCAGACCATTAGGTCCCACACCCTGACTCTGGCTACTGGGCCACACAACCTTGAGCGAGAGAGTGGCCATATTGACTTTTACTGCTAGACCACACTACCCCAAGACAAGGGGTGATTGTAGGGATGTGACTGTGGGGAAATAATTACCCCACTCCAAGAGGGCACAGGGTGCACTTGCCCCGCGACAACAGGGATAAGTGGGTGCCCTGGGAACTTCATGTAGCTTCCCCTTCCATCTATATCTATCATTGCATTGGAGGGATAGAATGCCCCAAGCTCCCAATATCTTGAGGATGATGGTGGTTTGGGACCTTGGAACTTCTTTCCCGGGGCCTATTGTTCTCCAGGACATCCCTTACCATTGACAAATTCTGCTGCTGTTATCATGGAATGCATAGGCTCCTAAATATACCTTAAAATTAATTTCCTCCTAGACTGTATAATTTCTATTGAAGAAAAGAGTTTCTTTTGTTAAACTCTGAAATAATGACTTCAGTTAAATGTTTAAGATTATATCATACAAATATCTAGCTACAAGCCAGAAAGAAATGCACAGCCCAATACACTAATGCACATAATTGTGCTTTTCAGTGTTTCTTGACAAGATTATCATTACAAATGATTTTTTCCATTTGAGATGACACAGGAAATTAAGTTTCTTAACATTTTGATCATGGTAAGTTTAGCCTATAATAATAATATAGTTTCTCTGATAAGAAGCCTTCATTAGCTGTAGGATAATACTCAGCAATTACACAGCCCCATCCATGTGAAGATCAAAATGCTTCACAAACAATTACATTTCACAAAGCCACTGTAATGTAGATACAATAAATATACCAAGTAAACTATAGAACATCAGTAATTGTTTTCCATCTTCACGTCTCAAGTGTGTTTTGCCAAGGGCCTTCAACCACTCAGGAGCATATAGCAGCCATAATCTCACTTCAAATGTTCTTTTTTTGTTAAAAAAATAAATGCTTGTGAAGATTAAACAATAAAATTATTTTATTAAAGGGTCACCATCAACCTGAAATCTAGTTCTGTTAAAAAAAAAGTAGTTTCAGGCATTAGACCCAAAGCAAAATCCCTTATGCCTGTGATTTTTTTTTTTTTTTAAAAAATAGGGATTATAAACTATTTTCCTCTATCCTGTTGATGTGTGTGACACCAACACAAAAGGGAAATATTAGAAATGATGATACAAAAAGTGTTGTCAGATATACAAAATTAAACATGCTGAAAGATGTCTTTTCCTCTAATCTCTTTCAGTTATAGCCATATTAGATGTTTTGTAACAGTCAGTAAAACATTTATCAGAAAGATATAAGTTGACAGTGTCCCTTTAAAACAAGGAATTTCCACACACTTCTAGTAAAAGGAATGTTATCAAAATACCTAAAGACCTCAGAAGTCTGTTCAATCTACACTTCTGAAGGTGCTGTTGACAAAAACCACATGTAGATTGCAACTATTGAGATACAAGAGTTTTAACAGCTTTATGGCTGGTGCTGTATATTAGGAAATTTCCATTTAATAAACAATCCTCCCAAAACAGGCATTTTTTTAAAAAGTAGCATTATAACTAAGTAGCTTATCCAGTGTCAGTCAATTGTTCCTCTCCCTGGGAACACGCTGTAGCAATAAGCAAGGATGAGGTGGACATTGGTAGGATGTTGTGGCACTTCTGTCATATTCCTTCAGCCACCTCAGAAGTGCATCAATAATAAGGTGCCTAATAATTCACATCCTGAAGAGGTCTTAATTCCTATTCAAGTATGGTCCATTATTTTACATACAACTGTTTTAATAAGTTTAGGAAGCAGGTTTAAGAAGACATAAAACATATCCTTCCACTATGAAAAGTATTTTAGTAAAATGAAGCAAAGATAGGGGAAAATGTTATGTTCCAGACAGTAGAGAAAAGGTGAGCATATATTTGTTAATTTCTTCCCAGTCTCCCCCCTCATTTTAAAAAAGGGTTATCTGAACTATTTGGTTCCGTCCCCAACTTCCCCACTTTCGGAAGCAGTTTGCTTGCCCAGCTGCCAATTTTAACTCCCTTTCTTTTATAAAAATGACATTTGGAATACTGAACAGCTTCCGTCTTTCTTTTTACACTAGAAAAAGCAGCAGAAGCAGCTGAAAGGGCCACATACTGCATGGCATTTGGGGAAAAACCAGTTTGGAACTTTTTTCCTTCTTCTTCTCTTAACCCCTTTCTTTTCCTTACTCTTTCCTCTACTACCTTGCCTCTCCTCGCCTCAAATTCACATGGTGCATTACCTCTGACAAATTATTTATGTATACTTTATTAATTTAGAATCACCAATACCCTGAAGACTCTTCCATATTTCTGACAATTAAAAAATCCCAAGTGATTTGTGGGAAATTATTTTTCTTCCTGTTCTTTCAAAGTTACTTTGTAGGTTTCTGATTTTGTAGTGTGAATAATAATCAGAAGCTGATGAATATTTCTTCAAGCCCCTAACTATGGGTATGTCTACACTACGAAGTAGTAAAGTAGAGAAGTTGTGGGGAGCCCAAATAACCCTTCATTTTAGACTAAAGGGGGTTTTCTTGTAGGAAGGTTGCTGGAAACCAATTCTGCTCAATCTGGCCCACCCGACTTTGTCAGCAGGGGGAAGCAGCTCTAAAAAAGTACCCTCTGTCCTTTGAACCTGCTCAGACAGGCAAAATTGCCTGGGATTAAACTCAAGTCTGCAAAAACATTTGACAATGTGCCCATGTTGTGCATTTTGTAGTTCTATATAATTGTATTATCAAAGGTTAACAAATATATCATTTAAAAAAGTCTCATTTGAAATACAAGCCTCATACCTGCTGGATGAGATGCATACATTTTGAAGACTGAACTCCATATGCATTGTTGACAATATGAGGAATGTTATAATTAGAACAAATCACAGCCAGTTCTTCCAGTCTACAAACATAAAAGTGCAAATTAGGAAAACACCATAACTTCACTGTGTTCGGTTAGAAGTATGAGTCAGGCCATTTAAGGACTAGTTAATGCAAGAAGGTCAAAATAGGGACAAACGAGGGAAAAGGAAACTTCTTCACAATTATATTAGGGTACACTGCAGCTGGGAGTATGCCCCCCAGCTGGGTTGACAGATACAAGCTAGTTCTCCTTGAGCTAGTGTACTAAAAATACTGCATGGGCGGTAGCACAGGGTAGCTGCTCGAGTACAGGCTTACCTGACTCCCTCGGTCCTAACTTAGGTGGTTAACCTGTGCTGCAAAGTCCACACTGCTATTTTTAGCATACAAGCTCAAGGAGAACTAGCGTGTCTCTGTCCACCCAGGCTGGGAGGCATGCTCCCAGCTGAAAGCAGACATACCTTAGTATTACTATTATGACCTGATAGTTAAATGAAAGTTTTTTTGGTAAACTGACATTCTCAGTTACCTATACCCAGTCCCTAACCTTTTGGGTTGGGCTCAAATTTTTCATGCTTAACCTTGGTTCCAAACAACTTTTTGGTAAAAAGCACCCACCAAAAAAACTTTCATTGGGGTTGCTAAAATGTTTTTTTTGAAGCATGTTTCAGCTTACTGTATTTTTTTAAATTTATAGCACTGTGCCTCAAAAAGGATTTGACTGAAGTTTCAAAATTTGTGTGGGAAATGAAATGTCTAAAGAGATTGGAAATAGCACAGGATAGGGAACCTTTCACTTTTTGGTTCCCAGTTCAATCTAACCCAGCTGGGTAGTGACTAAGGTTGTTATCCTCTGATAGCTATTGAGTGCCCTATGTTTAATGGGTTGGTAGTCTCAGTACAAACCCTAGTAATCCTATTTCAAAAACCACCAGCACCTCTGAAATCAATTGGTGCTCATCTACATACTAAGCAGAGCCAAGGAGTAAACTGGCATGGAAGTAACACTGTCCTATTGAAAATACAAGAGAGGAGAGAAATACTGACAGATATAGGAGGAGAATCATGCACTCCTGCTGCTCATAGTATACATACTCTGTAGGAAATAGAATTTGGGCTCCCATTACTCCAATCAGGCACTTTTGCCACACCGAATTATTTTGTTTTATACTTCGTCTGTACATAAACCTACATTAATAATGTGTGTTTTGGAACCTGCTGAGTGGTTTTTACAATTTTAAAGCAAATAGCATAGAAAGTCAAATGATGTTGCACATAAATTATTGTATCTTCAGATAACCACAATATAGTAACCAAAGTAAGTTGAATTTGCGGGAGTCAGAGGGTGATTCTTAAGGCCCTTAAAATAGGCAAGCATGTTCTTAAAGCCATTGACTTTCCCAAATTCAGGCCCCAAGAGAGGACAGCCATACTAGTCTGAATATGCTTGATCCCAGCTGAGTTTAAAGGCACATGAACTTGGTCCTAGTTAGTACCATATCTGGATGGTTGCTATTTCTGTGTTTGGGTCTTCTCTACCATCTTCATTTTATTTTATTAGCTGCCAATAAATCTTTCCTCTACACTAAGTTGAATCTCCTACTCTTCTTTTTTCAAGGAACTATCATTTCAAGATTTGGGCCAATATCTTTGCTTTCATATCTCAGATAAACTGTTACTAACAAAAGAGATTTTCCTTAGGCTTAATAGGTAGCCCTATTATTGCTGACTGCAAAGATTCATGGATCAGCACCTTGCTGCAACTGATTTCTCACAATCCAGATAAACTTTCATTTACCACACGGGCTCAGTTCTGCATGAGCTCCATGTGGGTGGACCTCTGGACCCCACTAAAACCTGTAAAGCTCTGCATAGATGCAGGGGTTCACCCTGCAGAGCTCACTAAACGTTCCAGGCCTCTTGGTATTTTATAAGATCTACACTTTTAGTACACTGGAAAAGGGTTCCAATTATTTTGGCATCTCTCTAAAATCCCTTGATTTCCCCCCCAACTTGTATTCCCTATATCTATTTTTGAAAATATTCTCTTTGAAAAGTTATGTGCAAAATCCAATCGAAAAGTTATGTGCAAACAGTGCAAAAAGCCAGGGGCTCTAGCAGCTTCCAATCCACCGGCTTCTGGCAGGAGGCAATGGTGGAGCATGCCTCAACAGAAGGCAGAAATATGGGGGCGGAATGGCATGTGGCCCTGCGAGCCCCCTCCACACATGACCTCTAGGAGGCACAAATATACTTACCCCGGGCACTAAAATCCCTCGTTACAGCTCTGCTCTTTCCAATAAAGAGAGATAATACTTAAAAAGGGAGTACACAATGAATGTAGGATTAAAATAAAATGACCTTTTAAAAAATAAAAATGTTAAATCCCATGTAGCATGACATTTGTTTAAAAATTTATACTTCAGCATACTTCTAGACAGTATTAAAACAAAAATGTCAGATATTTAAAAACAAACATATAAAAAGGTATCCTCCAGGAATGTTGTATGGGATTTACCTTCCTTTTATGAATATGCATCTTGTGGTCTTTGAGGGTTGGCAGTATCCTTTTAATAAAAAGCTCATAACCCACTCTATCTGTAGTATGCTCTAATGCAGCCCCCCATCTTATATTTTATTTCAGAGTCACAAGGGACAGAACACTACCATGTCAAAAAAGGAGAAAAGGCGGCAGAGGAGTGAAAGAAATTTACATTAGTTCAAAAACAGACTAGTTGATTTGGTAGTTTTGATTCAAGCTAGCCAATAAATTTTCCAGCTCATCTTCAGGTAATGTTCATAGTATTCTGACTGAATTATTCATCCCACTATCCTTCCACCAACATGTATAAGTGTGTTTTTAAATCAATAAAATGTAAGACAGTTTTGACTAATGTAGGATAACAGAGTGAAAGATATTTTTCATTTTTCAACTGTAAGATGATAGTATTTCATTTCTAAATTCAGATATTCAGCTATGAATTTCTAGGTATCAAAGCAATTAATGAAAGAAAATAGATACACATGATGCAGTAAAGAAAATTATTACAGCAGTAAGATTATTTTGTTTTGGAATTATACCAAATTTAAGCAATTCTTATGCTGAAGTTAAGGTACTATACATTTTCAAAAACCTCAACCATATTATTAAAACCTATACTTTAAACAAATTGTACTGTGAACACAAATGAGCCCACAAATATACAATTGTACACTGGCAAAACCCAGTATTTGGGTTTATTGTTATCTATTTGCATATGCAGACACTAGTTACATTCACAAAAGCAGGTTTTCCAAACAACTACCACTGGTCTCATTCTGAAAATTTGTCCCAACATACTGAGTGCAGTTAGCCATCAGAATCCAATTTCTAGTTTCTAGAACAAGAATTTTCAAAGATTTCATAGTGTGGACCACATCTTAATATAGTGCCTCAAAGACTGCATTATCTCCCATTCTTGATTGTACGGTTCATCTCCCTTGTCAGCAGTGACTGAATAACATCCCTGTGGCAATTACAGCAATAGCTTGCATGGAAATGTAATATTAGGAAAGAATGTAATGTATGTTAAGCTTATTTTAATGTGATTTAACAGCTGGAAACAGAGAGCAAGCATCACATGAACAGCCAGTAAGTGCTCAAACCAAGGTAAGCTAAACCAGAGAAAAATCACTTTTTTATATCAGTGCAGTACATCTACATTTCAGGTTTGCACTCCTGCAGCTGTACTAGTGGACGGACACCCCACCTTGGGCTATCAAAAGTGTCAAATGAGAAAAATTCATCTGTGATCAGTGAACTAAATGAGACAGCAGCACAGGCAACTGTAACTAAGAAAATGTGACCTCTGATTTAGCAGGGCAGCTTCTGTTGTACGATTTCACAGAAGACAATTGTTACCCACTTCTGTGGAATCACAGGAAAAACTGCTGGCTACAATCATTTATATCACCAAAAGCAATGAGAGATTATTATCTTCAGCCAGGTATGACAAGGAAGATCTGCCCTATTTCTTGTCCTTCCTTTTCTGCTTCTTCTGGTACTTTTTTTGCAGAAGTCGCATTGTTTCCATCCTCCTGCTCCCTGAATTCCAGGAGGAAATGAAGTAAACTTTCACTGTGGTATCTATTTTGCTTCATTAACTATTGGTAGTAATTAAGCAATTTTAGGAAGATGAGCATAAACGTGAAGGTTATTAAAACCTTGGTAATACCTACCAAGCATTACGTGAGGATTATTTACCTGTCAGGTACCCTTGGAGCAAAGCAAGATGTAGTAGAATGAACACAGAGAACATTTTCAGCTCCAAGATCCTGGATTTTAGCCTCTACCGCCTTTACGTCTGTGCGCAGCTCATCACCTTCTAATACATTCTCTATCACCACTGGCTCAAAACCTAACCCAGCCAATAAAAATAAGAGTGTATTAAGCAGTAACTTTATACGTCTATATCTTCAGGCTAGATGCATAATTCTGGGCTATGATTTAATTTCAGATTTTTTGTTTATTTCTATTCATTTATTCTGGTAACAGACTACTTCAGAGGCTCAGAATCATTAAGAACACTGGTACATAAATGACAACTTCACTGGTGTCCACTGGAGAACTTGGGCTTTAGGTAAAAGCTAGTGCCCTTTGCAAGCTGAACCACATAGCAACAACAGGTTCAAGGAAATCTCCCTTACTTAAGCAGATTAACCCCTTCACTTCCAATTTCTTTTTTAAATATTCAGGATGAGGGAGGCAGGGGAAATCAGTCAAAAGGACTTCCTTTCAAGATCCAAACTTCAGATGTATTAAAACAGTACTGCTGGGAAAAAATTGCTAAAAATACTAATCCAACTGCTTCTAAAAATAAAACCAGTTAGTAGCAAACACTATAGTTAAGGCTGCAACTCAACTTTCATCAGTATCCTGTTTTTACTCATTCACAACTCTCCAAAATACGCATCAGAGCTTGGAAATGTCCACATTTGGTCTTATTCTGGAAGTGAAATTTTTGTTTTTGGAAAATCTGAGCGAAGTTTGCTAATCCATTTTTGAGTTAAGCAAACACTGAAGAAAAGAATCACACAAAAAAAGACTTGTTTTGGCACAAAGACTCAATAAAACAGTTGAACTGCACAGCTGCAAACTTTATATGTGGCTATTCTTCACTGAAGATCATACCCCAAGGTACAGTGCATTTAAAAAAAATTTTAAACACATCTAAGTCATAAATGGTTAAACTACTTTTATGCACATATATTCATTTTTCAGTTACATAAAAACGGCCGTACCGGGTCAGACCAAAGGTCCATCTAGCTCAGTATCCTGTCTACCGACAGTGGACAATGCCAGGTGCCCCAGAGGGAGTGGACCTAAGAGGCAATGATCAAGTGATCTCTCTCCTGCCATCCATCTCCATCCTCTGACAAACAGAGGCTAGGGACACCATTCCTTACCCATCCTGGCTAATAGCCATTAATGGACTTAACCTCCATAAATTTATCCAGTTCTCTTTTAAACCCTGTTATAGTCCTAGCCTTCACAACCTCCTCAGGTAAGGAGTTCCACAAGTTGACTGTGCGCTGTGTGAAGAAGAACTTCCTTGTATTTGTTTTAAACCTGCTGCCTATTAATTTAATTTGGTGGCCCCTAGTTCTTGTATTATGGGAATAAGTAAATAACTTTTCCTTATCCACTTTCTCCACACCACTCATGATTTTATATACCTCTATCATATCCCCCCTTAGTCTCCTCTTTTCCAAGCTGAAGAGTCCTAGCCTCTTTAATCTCTCCTCATATGGGACCCGTTCCAAACCCTTAATCATTTTAGTTGCCCTTCTGAACCTTTTCTAGTGCCAGCATATCTTTTTTGAGATGAGGAGACCACATCTGTATGCAGTATTCGCGATGTGGGCATACCATTGATTTATATAAAGGCAATAATATATTCTCAATCTTATTTTCTATCCCCTTTTTAATTATTCCTAACATCCTGTTTGCTTTTTTGACCACCTCTGCACACTGCGTGGACATCTTCAGAGAACTATCCACGATGACTCCAAGATCTTTTTCCTGATTTGTTGTAGCTAAATTAGCCCCCATCATATTGTATGTATAGTTGGGGTTATTTTTTCCAATGTGCATTACTTGATATTTATCCACATAAAACTTCATTTGCCATTTTGTTGCCCAATCACTTAATTTTGTGAGATCTTTTTGAAGTTCGTCAGTCTGCTTTGGTCTTAACTATCTTGAGCAGTTTAGTATCATCTACAAACTTTGCCACCTCACTATTTACCCCTTTCTCCAGGTCATTTATGAATAAGTTGAATAGGATTGGTCCGAGGACTGACCCTTGGGGAACACCACTAGTTACCCCTCTCCATTCTGAGAATTTACCATTAATTCCTACCCTTTGTTCCCGGTCTTTTAACCAGTTCTCAATCCATGAAAGGACCTTCCCTTTTATCCCATGACATCTTAATTTACATAAGAGCCTTTGGTGAGGAACCTTGTCAAAGGCTTTCTGGAAATCTAAGTACACTATGTCCACTGGATCGCCCTTGTCCACATCTTTGTTGACCCTTTCAAAGAACTCTAATAGATTAGTAAAACACGATTTCCCTTTACAGAAACCATGTTGACTATTGCTCAACAGTTGGTTTTTCTATGTGTCGGACAATTTTATTCGTAACTATTGTTTTGACTAATTTGCCCGGTACCGACGTTAGATTTATCAGTCTGTAATTGCAGGGATCACCTCTAGAGCCCTTTTTAAATATTGGTGTTACATTAGCTAGGGCCATTGCTTGAGGAATTATCCAATTGCACAAGTCCATAGTGCCACAAGTTTTTTGGTTTTTTTAGTACATGACAAAATGGCATCATTTAAAACCTACACAGTTACTGAAAAGCTCAATTATGCATGTTAACTTATGAACAGGGCTGAAACTTAAGGCTCTATTATTAAAATTCAAAACAGTCTCATTTGAAAATTACTACTTTGATACTAAAAATATGGTGTGATTTTGTAGAACCATATATTTTCCTTCACAGTGGATCTAGCAAGTCTAGAAGTTTCACTACTTTTAGCCTCCATACTTTGTATACCAATCAACATGTAAAGAAAAAGGAACCACAGTGTTCCGTGTTTCTTTTTCCACCATCAGTTTTAACTGAATGACATGCAAACACTTTAAATTACTTTATTTTTTCTAACATCCCCAAGCAAAATAAGGATTAAAAAGTGACTTCCTGTTATGGAAGGAAGTAAATCATGTGATCCATCTATACCTGGTCACCTCTTTCTGTAGCATTTGTACCCTTTTCATTATTTATAATTTATTTAAATTTCATACATCCCAAGTTGTCAGTTTTAGCAGTCCATTTCACATATTATTTTCCATCTATGCAAAGAAGTTTGTACTGAACTCCCATCAAGCCTGCTCCTGCTCCCAGTGAAATCAATGGGAATTTTCCTATTGACATCTAAGGGAGTAGGATTGAGTTGACGGAGCTAAATCCCTCAATTTCCACTCTAGCATGGCAGTATCAGTGTGGGTCTTCCCTCTTTGAATTAACAACATGCCTCAGCTCTGTCATGGAGGAATGAAATTGTGAAGTGAGCCCCTGTCCACAAGAACTTGGACTAGACAATCTGCAACCATCATATTGCTATGACTTAGTCACTGTTGACCTTCGCTGGTTTCAGACTGGTGAGGTAGGGGTAAAAGACTCTGCTTCCAATTGCTAATCCAATATTTGCTGCTTCTTTTTTTGGATACACTATTCTTTCATTAATTTGGTGACATCCATCTTATTTAAATCATCAAAGTTTTGAACAACTCAGTTATGCCTCTTTTTATGCTCTTTTTTCCTAATATAAATCTATTTTTCTTAACCTCTTCTCTGTATATAACCAGGTATTACAAATATCTTAAATAAATCACATTCCATACAATTAGTTATGTTCAGAGAATGCTATGGCTGCCTACTTAAATACTCGACTGTCGTCCTCTGCTGAACTATTTCCAGTTCTTCAGTCTCTTGTAATATGGTGCCTGAAGTTGAGCATGACATTCTAGACATGTTCCTCACTTTCTTTTTGTGCAGAGTGATACTATCTTTCTATCTCTACTCTTTTACATAACTCCATATTCTATTTGGATTTCTACACTTGTCTATTTTATTGTTTCCAGACACCAAGTTTATGAATCCAGTACCACTATCAACAGGATAGTTTTAAACATGTGTAGTTAGAATGCTACATTGCATGGTCAATCCACCTTCTTCCTCTTACCTGCAGTTATCATAGATTTAAAGCAGGATTTCTGATCTATGCGTGGCCAAATAATATACTTTGCCTTTGGTCTCTTGTGCCGCAGTGTTAAGAAACACAGGGTTAGACTCATGCCAGTTGCCATAGGAACCACAAAGCAACTGGTCACTGTCCGGACACCTGTATATAAAAACAAACCAGGTAGTAGCATAAAGTATTTGCTAACTGCCATATGCACCCACATAAGAAAAATATTAGTTTCATACCTACCAGCCAGTTTTATAATGTCCAGAACTACTGAATTAGTAAGTTTGTTCAAAAGGCTAGAACCTGCGGCTTTAGGCTGGACAGCAGAAATATCCCCTGACCTCCCAATTCCATGGATTAACCTGAACAAAAGAGGTTGAAAACATATAGTAAGAATTTTTCAAGCCCTAAAGCAATATTGTTTTCTGAAGGGCATTTGGTTTGATAAACATTAATAAAATGTCTTATCCAATGCAATGCCAAAATCAGATAATGAATTACAATACCCTATAATATTAACATGAAATTGGACTATTTCACTCACTTCTGTACAGTAAAGCCATCAAAAACAACATCTTGTTAAACAGTAACTGAGAAGGCCTATAATACTGATTCCTTTATCCACCAGGTAAATTTATCGGAAGCAAGGGCTGTGAAATTTCAGCAATGCTTGATGTCCCTCAGATTATGCTACAAATGCTAGCACACTTTGCACACACTGCAGCCATGTTTTTTGAAGAATAAAAATCAGTATAATACAATGCAATGTACACCCATGGGATTTTACAGATGCTGTGCCTGATAAACATTTCACAACAACAGAGCAATGAAGTGGTTTACATATGCTTTGTTAAAAATACATTTTAAAACATTTACGTTAATACACGCTCTGTTTCCCTCCACATTTTGTCTCCTTGCACCCCGCATTCTACTACCTCCTACTTCTCATTCGGTGCAGTCCCATCTTTCTTCGCATTCTTGCATCTTTCTGATACCACTCAAATTACATTTATAATTGTGGAATATTATTTAGCACCTCTCAGGCTTGAAAGATCATATAACCCTTTATGAACTACACACTTACATAAATAACTTCCCCCACTGGTGAAATGCAGCAGCTGCCTACGAAAGCTCAGCAACAGTATACAACTACTGATGACTTGAATTCCATTTTTGTCTTGGGGACAGCGAGGACTCCAGCCATATGCATCCACTCACTGAAAAGCAGATGGACTGGAGGGAACTCAGAACTTTTAGGAGGGTGGCTTTATATCTGAAGCTTTTTTCTCCCACTTCCAGTGTAATTACAGCAATAATTATTTGGTTTGATAATTGAAAAATTTGGACATAATCCTAACTTTATAATTACAAAAATGCTTTGTTCCCCTGCTATGCCTTCAATATCTTTCCCTTAACTGGTCCCTCTTTTCTCAGTCTACATGTTCCCTATCTCTTTCCTAGTCTGGGTCTCTAGTTGCTGTGCTCACTCTGCCCATTCATTTTGTTTTTAATATGGCTGAGAAGGAGAGAGTGCTCTCAAACCACTGCCTGACACTTCCCTCCATTCTTTTAACTTACCTATCTAATTGGCAGGAGAATGGAGTGGGGATGGAATTGAGGACTCCTCTTAGAAGAATTCCTTCTCTCTCTCCCACTAATGAAGCTAGTAGGTATAAGTGGTACATAAGGCGATAGAACTGTCCTAGCCCAGCAACAGCAAAGTGACATCCTCAGCTTTGTCACCTGCAATATGTTCAACTCCTAGTCTACCACATTCCTTTAGAAAAGCCAGATAGCAGCATTTTTGGAAGGAGAAAGATGCTCTGAAGATGCCCCTGATCCCATAGCTCAATCAAGCCAGAGACTGACTACAGAATTAAGTAGACGGAATGGGAGAAAGAAGACACAGGTGATGCCTCCAGATCTGTTCTCTATTAGAACAATTCTTCCTCAGGAGGAATTGCACGGGCCTTTGAAAACTGCTAGATCCCTATGATCAAGCAGTAAATTTAAAGAACTGCAATTTAGAACAAGAAGTGAAGGAAAATACCATATTTAGTTGCAATTGCAAAAGGAATTTAGTTCCCTGGTTTTCTTTGGAGGTCTCCCATTATAAAACTGGATGGACCAAACTGAGCTTACTTGTGAAAGTGGAATTTACTAGAATACTGGTAGCCCTCCCTGTCCAATAGCTCTACCTCCTTTGATCATTTTAATGGATTTGGTTTATGATCATGTCAATTAATCTCGGTCATGAGCTAATAATTACAACAATCAATATGCAGGTATTTGGATGCAAGGGATCTTTTCCAATTAGTTATAATATTTAGAAGAAAGAAGACGTTTTGAATAATATACAGATGAGTTAATGATGTACTCTGTAAACTGACAGGTTTCAGAATAGCAGCCGTGTTAGTCGGTATCCGCAAAAAGAACAGGATCTTGATTATCACTTCAAAAGTTTTTTTTCCTCTTACTTAATTGGCCTCTCAGAGTTGGTAAGACAACTCCCACCTGTTCATGCTCTCTGTATGTGCGTATATATATATATATCCTCAATATATGTTCCACTCTATATGCATCCGAAGAATTGGGCTGTAGTCCACGAAAGCTTATGCTCTAATAAATTTGTTAGTCTCTAAGGTGCCACAAGTACTCCTGTTCTTTCTGTAAACTGCCAAGACAAGTTATTTTTTAACCAGAGAAGTCTCTTCTTCTTCTTGCTTTGTCATGTGATCAATTCAAAATTTTGCATTTCTAAGAATCACAATTTCCTGAAGAGCGAAGTTGTGAGAACATAGTGAAAGAGGAGATGATTTTAACAAAAAAAATCTTGTTAAACTTTTCAATGACTTGCTAATGGAAAATATGATATGAAACTGATGTAATTGTCTGTAATGAAATTTTGTTTTTCAAATGCTTTCAAACTCTCTGATTACAAGATATTAAAATAAGCCTTTTACAAACATAATAAAACAGTAGCATTAAAATTGCTTGTCAGACTTACCTGTAATGCCGACGGGCAACCATTCCTGATGCCACTCTTCCTTCCCTCTCACCCACACCACAGTTGCCCAGAAAATTGTTGCTATCCATAATGGCAAGTTCATGAAGAAAGAGTTCGATGGTACTTTCATCCCATCCATCTTCAGGACACTTGCCCTTCAGAAGGAATTATAATTATAATAAAAATACTGCCTAGACTTGGATAATTAAAATGGATAAGATTTCTTTAAGTAAATTGTTTTGTTAATTTTAGTATCTTCTTTAGTGCACTGAGCAGATTTAAATAGTTAAAGAAATCTAGTCTCCCCTTCCTAGAATATGAAATTGGAACATTTAATAATAAAAGCTACATAATAAACTGCTTCTATACTCAATGCAATTTGATATTAATGTTCCCAGAAATAATAAATTTAAGATGCATTTGTCTCCAAGTACAGCATTTTAGGATGCAGAAGCAGCAGAGAGCAGTTAGGAAGCTTCTTACTAGGATCCAGAGTGACCTAGACAAATTGGAGGATTGGGCTAAAAGAAATCTGAGGTTCAACAACGACAAGTACAGAGTCCTGCACTCATGACAGAAGAATCCCATGCACTGCTACAGGCTGGGGACCGACTGGCTAAGCAACAGTTCTGCAGAAAAGGACCTGGGGATTACAGTGGACGAGAAGCTGGATATGAGTCAACAGTGTGCCCTTGTTGCCAAGAAGGCTAATGGCATATTGGGCTGCATTAGTAGGAGCATTGCCAGCAGATCGAGGGAAGTGATTATTCCCCTCTATTTGGCACTGGTGAGACCACATCTGGAATATTGCATCCAGTTTGGGCCCCCCACTACATAAATGATTTGGACAAATTGGTGAGAGTCCAGCGGATGGCAATGAAAATGATTGGGGGATGGGGCACATGATTTATGAGGAGAGACTAAGGGAACTGGGCTTATTTAATTTGCAGAAATGAAGTGAGGGGGGATTTGATAGCAGCCTTCAACTACCTGAAAGGGGGTTCCAAAGAGGATGGAGCTCGGCTGTTCTCAGTGGTGGCAACTGACAGAACAAGGAGCAATGCTCTCACGCTGCAGTGGTGGAGGTCTAGGTTGGATATTAGGAAAAACTATTTCACTATGAGGGTGGTGAAGCAGTGGAATGGGTTACCTAGGGAGGTGCTAGAATCGCCATCCATAGAGGTTTTAAGGCCCAGCTTGACAAAGCTCTGGCTGGGATGATTTAGTTGGTGTTGGTCCTGCTCTGAGCAGGGGGTTGGACTAGATGACCGCCTGAGGTCTCTTTCAACCCTAATCTCTTTCAACCCTAATCTGAGATTCACTTTATGAAGGATATACAGGATATTTGGTGTATGACATGCAGTTTTAGTCCATTAGGGCTGTAACACTGATCAAGAGGCATGGAGAAGATAAAGTAAAAGACAACTAGGATAACAAAGTAAAGAATACTAATAATCAAAGAAAGTTAAAAGTAATTTCAGGTACTACACATTTTCCTACTTATTTTTCTCTTCTTTGTTACTGTTTAAAAAAAAAAAGGACCCACTAAAGCAAGAGAAACTGACTATTTACTCAGGGGAACCAGTGAGATTGACCAAACAAAAACTGCAGCCAAATGTTCTTTGCATTCCTTTGTGTAGCATACTTACCTTTGTAAACTGCTTAGATCAGGGGTTCTCAAACTTCACTGCACCCCTTTCTGACAACAAAAATTGCTACATGACCCAGGAGGGAGGGGGGGCAAAGCCAAAGCCCAAGGGCTTCAGCCACAGGTGGGGGGGGACTGTAACCTGAACCCTGCCCCAGGGCTGAAGCCCAAGGGTTCTGACCTTGGGTGTGGGCCCCGGGATTCAGCCCTGGGTCCCAGCAAGTCTAACATCAGCCCTGGCGAACAGGGTCGCAACCCACTTTGGGGTCATGACTCACAGTTTGAGAACCGCTGGCTTAGATGAAAAGTACTCGGAAAACACAAAGCATTACTACACCACAACGAATAGCTATGCAACACCTATTCTCTTCTTCTTTCTGTATGTTTTTAAACACTAAAAAAAGAGACTATCTTCCACTAGTCTCCATCAATAATCTTAGTTCGTTGTCAAAATAACAGGAAAAAAATTTAGTCAAATGAGTGTCCATTTAAATGATCAGAAAATTAGGTATGATCAAAAAGAAAAGAGTAAGGGAGGCATCTCAATATTCCACATTAATAACAGGAAGACTCACTTCTAATTACTAATTTCAGAATATTATAGAACAAAAATAATAAAAATCAAGGGTAATGAATCACAACACATACTTGTACCATATTTTACAAGTGTAATTTCATTTCAATTATAAATAATATTTTATAGTATGTTAGTAAATATTTAGTAATGTACAGGGCTTGAAAAATTCATTCAACCACTTGCCAGTGGCAGATTGAGAGCTTTTCCTGGCAAATGTGGGGCCTAAGCCATTAATTTTTGTAGAATTTAAACTTTCATTTAAGACCTGGTCTACACTACGTGGTAGGTTGACACAAGGCAGCTTATGTCGACCTAGCTATGGATGTGTCTTCACTTAAATTTGGCTCCCAGTGATGTAAGCGCCCTGCTATGCTGATTTAATAACACCATCTCCCCAAGCAGCGTAGAGTCACGGTCAATGTAATTAGGTCCATGTAGTAAGAGTGTAGACATGGTGTCACTTATGTAGACTATTACTGGCTTCCTGCAGCTGTCCCACAATGCCCCAAACTGACCGCTCTGGTTACCGTTGTGAACTCTGCTGCCCAGGAGTCAGGTAGACAGGAAGCTCCCCCCGACGCCTTTAAAGCCATGCAAATTTTTGAAATTTCTTTTCCTGGTGGCCCAGCTTGGCAAGCACAGCTAGAAGCTCTCCACTGTTGAGTGTAATTGCCCAGCTGACCATGCCGGCTATATGTTCCAGTTGAGCTCCTGCCTGGAACAGACAGGAGATACTGGATCTCCTAGGCCTGTGGGGAGAAGATGCTGTGCAGACACAGTTCTGATCCAGCCATAGAAATGTGGACATCTGAGCAATCTGCTCATAGGAGAGACCAGCAGCAGTGCCACGTGGAAGCCAAGGTGCTCCGGCGGGCATAGCAGAAGCCCAGGGAGGCCAACAATTGATCTGGTGCCAAGCTGAAGACCTACCATTTTTACAAAGAGCTACATGCAATCCTCAGCGGAGACACCCCCACTATCCCCAAAGCCCCATGAATACTTCCAAAGAGCCCGAGTCACAAACCCCTGCCATGAACAGCGAGAAGGAGAAAGGTAGACAAGGAGGAGGAGTGTGGGGACCAGACAACCGGGTGATCCAGTTGTGTGGTGAGCCAAGACCTGTTTTTGACTCCACCACAGTCCAGTCATTCCCGACAGTCGAACACGGGCGAGTCTGATGCAGGGGAAGGAACCTCTGTAAGTATGCACTTTGCTTTGAAATTACAGGAATGGAACCCCCAAAGCAGCAGGACATCTGTGGATTCGCTCTTTTTTACTTGTGCTAAAAGAGGTAGTGAAGCCATGGTGAGTATGGGCTGCCTCTCTGAGAGAGGCAGAGTTGCTATATGCTTTTCATTCCCCACTAGAGTTAGGCAGAGGGGGGCCACGTGGAGCAGTTTGTTTATGAACACCAGGATGTCTCATTAATTCTCTGTAGAGATCTTGATGAAACTTTCATGGAGGTACTCTGCAATCCTCTGCCAAAGGTTTCTGGGAAGGGCTGCCTTGTTTCTTCCGCCACAGTAGGACACTTTCCCACGCCACTCAGTGATTACTTCAGCAGGCATCATTGCAGTACATAGGTTATCAGCATGTGAACCTGGGCAGCAACAGGACACCAGCAGAAGCTGTGATCTCTCTGCCCGTTACCCTCAGGAGTGAGATAGCTAAAATCACCACCACCTGTGCAAAACGGTGTCAGCATTCAGTTCCATTGCCCTATACTACTAGGATCATGCAAGCAAGCTATTCCTCAGTCCCCGAAGGCCCATACTCACCATGGCTGGTGCTGTGACTGGCGCTGTGCTCTATCACTCCCAAGCAGAAGTGAGAATGTAGTGCTTACAACTTTTGGGGAGCAAGGGGAGTGAGTTCAGCATTTTGAGTTTCAATTTCTGTCGTGAGTAACTGACAACGTGTGACTACGTATGCTGTATCTGCAGCTGCTGCCATTGCGGCCTTCAGGGTCTCTCCCTCCACACCTGCAGAATGCCTGTGCCAGATAAGGAGAAGAAAGAAAAGGACTCGGGATGACATGTTCCAGGAGATTCTGCAAGCCAGTGCTGCTTTACAGAACTAGCACAGGGCCTGGAGGATCACCCTTGCAGACAGCATGGAGAAGCACAGAGTGGAGAGGAGAAAGGTGCAGGAAAAGGAGAGGGATGTGCAGCAGCAGATGCTTGCGCTTCTCAGACAGCAAACAGAGATGCTGCAGATGGTGGTGGATCTGAAGGTTCAACAATCCTGTGCTCGCCTCCCTCCGCAGTCCACTGAAAACTGCATATTGGGACCTCCCTATTACCCCCCCTTCAACATTCCACGTGGCATCAGGGGTCGGTGCAGTACCTTTACCACTGCACCCGGGGGGAAATAAAAGAAAATCACAGCTTTACATACACTGACCTGTGAAAGCCACAGTTGGTGTACCTATACCTGAAAAGGAAATGACTGTTGTTTCTACTTAATAAATTAAGGGAACAGAACTTATGAAGTTTTAAATGTTTTTTAATTGCCTGGTTCATGTTACAGAATAAAATTGTATGTTTGGAATAAAATTCATCTTTATTAGTTCATGGCATATGCTGAGCAGGTTTGGCAGCAACCAATTCCCCATTACTGCACTATCATTCACAAACAATATTAACAGGTGCATTGACAATTTTATACTTTACCAAATTCACTGTCCATTTTGGTCAATTTCATGGTCATATGATTTTTAAAATTGTAAATTTAATGATTTCAGCTATTTAAATCTGAAATGTCATGGTGTTGTAATTGTAGGAGTCCTAACCCAAAAAGGAATGGGGGCGGGGGGAGTTGCAGTACTGCCACCCTTACTTCTGCAGTGCTGCCTGCAGAGCTGGGTCCTCAGTCAGCAGCTGCCAGTCTCTGGCTGCCAGCTCTGAAGGCAGCAGCACAGAAGGTGGCAT